CACACACACACACACACACACACACACACACACACACACACACACACACAGCAGTGCATATAGCACCCAGTGTGTGCATCCACTACATCTTTGTATCAGATGTAACAATCAGTAAAATGTTGTTAACGTCGAAAATGTGAAGCTCTGACGGCTCGACAGTTTGTGCTTTAGGTTGCACACAACCTTCACTGTTTACACACACAGACACTTCACTTGGGAACACACAACTTGTTGCTGTGGCAATTAGAGTAATGTAGCTTGGTAAACATCAGTGGACAGGAAAGAAGTGCTATGTGTGTGTGAGAGAGAGCGAGAGAGACACACACACACCGTCATCCTCGAAAGCGCTGAGATGATTGAAAATTGATTCTGAGCAATTTTTCTGCCCTTGTGATGCACAACAACAGACAGACTGCACACACACAAACACTTACATATCGTACACACATATCACAACACACTCATGTACACTTAGTACATGCATACACATGTGAGTGCTAGTCTGGGTTAATGTGGGGGCTCTTAAGGAAGTGCAGAAGGCCACACTAAACCCTATTCATCACTCAGACCACCAAAGAAAGAGAGAGTGAATATCCCGCCTAGTAAATTGACTTCTTAGCGACTTTGGAGTGGATTTTCTTCCTCCGTTTGGCGCCAATGCACCTGATTCAGTTTCATCTCCACTTAAATGATTTTTTAGTGAATGTTCAACCCACCACGTTCTCTTTTCTTCTCAAACTTCCTCTTCCTTTTCATCCTTCTCTCTTTCTCTCTCTGTCTTTTCCTCTTCTCCTAAATTGGTCTTGTTTTTGGACTTCCCCAAGGTTTAACCCCTCACCTCTGCCCCTTAAGCCTGAACTGGGAGGCTGGCTTCATTAAAAGAGGCTCCCGCTGAGCCCAGCGTGTGCATGTCCGTGCGTGTGTGTTTTTGTTTGAAGGGGCTGGGGGTATTAGACCCACACAGGAACTATATCATGCTGCTAAGTTAGGAACCTTCTGAAAGAGAAGACACACACACGTCGCTGCTGAAACAAACAGCTGACAGCCTCTATCCATGATGTGTAGAAAAAGAGATTTAACCGCACACACACACACAGACGCGGTGCCACACGATGCTGATACTGTACATGCATCAAATTCACAGCAGCAAGGACCGAAAATGTTCTGTCCCATTTCGCTCTCTTCCTTGTGTTGCACTTTTTCTTTGACATCCACCCTAAGAAAGATAAATCTAAAAAAACTTGGTGTCCCTGTTTTCTCCCTCCGTCCACACCAAGCTGTTATTTTTCACACTCAGTAACTGAGCTGTTTGAGAGCGCAGATAAATCTTAAAATGCTGGCCTCAGGTTTTGGAGTGCACCAGAAAACTTGAGCTTTTTGAAAACAATGAAAAAAGTCTTTGGTCAGGAATGTTACCAAAAAGCAGTTAAAATGCCGGCTTCCTGTAACCTCTAATCCTCGCTGTGGTCACACATTTTAAATGTCAGCATAGATGCTCAGACCACTCTTCGTCCTTTATAACGATTTGGCCGACGCCTCGGTGTGCCAAAGCCGGGCAGCGTTTGCTTTTCGGTCTCATCACAGAAAAATGTGTAAATGACAATACTAAATTGTGAGTTTGGCTACAATGAAACCAAGCATCAAGCTCCGGGGCAGAAAAGTAAAACCAACAGTAAAGTGTCGAAAACTCAAACTCCTCAAATGGCCACTTGAGGCTGACTCCAAAAGCAAGGAAAGCCCCAAAGAAGCCTGTGTTAAAACACACAACTTTACAACTTTACAACAGAAATAATCACATTTACAGTCCTTCCAAATGTAGGGAGGGTTACAATTGTTACAGTTGTGCACTGCTTGGGGTATGGATTTCCTTGCATGAGCAGTGGTTGTCTGGGTTAACTTCAGCTAATTCGAGCTGCTCAATTCTACTTCTTAATCAAGTTTGTAGGTCCTTCTGGAGCATTTTCATGCTATTATCTTACAAATGACATAACTTGGTGTTTGGGTAAAAACACAACATCCAAGAATGCTGCACTCCATTTTCTATGAGTGAAATTCTAGTGTTTTATTAGTCTGTTACTTAGCTCTAATTAACACCTAATTTCCAGTATAGTCCCTAAATGAACCTTAAGTGACAGTGGTTAGTGGCTATGATTTGTGTACAGACTCAATTTAAAACAGGTGAACAGGAGGGCAAAGCGGACCAGTCTGACTATGTGAGACATCTGTCCAGATGCTGGCTGTATGTGTCTGTTTTCACACTGTTGAAATCCATTTTGGTGCGAATGGATCTTCTACGGATCTTCCTGTTTTTCTCACCTCTGGTGGTCCAGGATGTGTGTGTGCGCGCGTGTGTGCAGGAGTGTATGCGCGACAGAGTCAGGTCTTCAGTGTTAAGAGCTTAGAGCTGCTTTTCTAAAGGACCTTTTCAATGTGAGGGGGGCTTTTGACACCCTCCGTGTCTAAGAAGACCTAAGCATGAAAGAGCACTACTCAATTCTCACACATGCACCCCTCATCCTTTCCCCTCCTCCCTGTTTTTTGTGTCTCACGCCGGACACACATACACAAACTCTTACCTACTGTTATACAGTTTCTGAATCTCTTTTGTATGAAGCCTACCGCCACAAGATTCTTCCCAGGTCCAGCAGACTGGGGGTTCCTGTGGCAGAGCTTGTGTGTGTGTGTGTGTGTGTGTGCGTGTGTGTGGTAGGGTATGAGTCGGAGTTG